GAAATGTTAAAATGTCGGTAAATAACTAAGACTGACAATGTATCCATTATAATATTACTGTGAATTAGAACTGACAAAACAAAATGTTACAGATGAAAGAGATCGTAATATTTGTAACAAGAAGAAAACTGATGCTGTTCTTTATTCTTTTGCTTCTATTTCTTGCTTTCTTTCCTGTTTTTTTTTTTTTTATATATGAGAACAAATATTCTTTGCTGGATGAACTTTTGAGGACATTAGAGTATTTAATTTTTATATTAAACAAGGAACTTTCAAGATATACATATCAGCTATTGAAGAACAAAGACGAATGGGAACGATAAGAAAGAATATAAGCATCTTCGCTCCCGATATTAACATGAAAGGGAGGCATGGACAGCACACGTCGTACCTGTGGGTGGTACCGATGTGCGACGGTTAAGGTGCTGTGGAATTTGCCCGCCGTTTTTTTATATTTAAATTTAAGAAGAGGAGTTCCAGGATCACTGTTGCTTTTCTACAATCCGGTTTGAAGAAGCCACGTTGGTAGTGGCGAAACGCGTCCCGGTATTTTTAAAGCACATTGTGGCTATTTTATTTATATGAGTGTATTAAATAATCGTTTTTACTTTTGGATGATCCTGGTTTCCGATATCGGTTCATTGAATGGGGAGTGCAGTCCCGAATTTGCACAATGTTATGAAATTGAGTCAATACATTTTGACCCTACACTTGTGAGTACCCACGTAAAGATCACATATATTTTCTTTGAAACATCACAAACGATATTGCGCAATTTGGTGTATTTTTATTTATCTACAGACCCCAGGAACACATTGTAAGAAGGGTTTGGGGCCACCCGTACAGACTCAGAAGCCATTTGAACTAGAGCTAAGTCGATAGCTCTCCATTTACATCTTTCCTTGCCAATTTTCTAGTGACATTTTACCTTGAAAAGGTGATTAATTCATTTTGTTTTTGTATAAGTGCTACATTCTTAATTTGTTTTACCAGACCCGAACTACCTATCTCTTGGAGTGCTATTGACAGACGAGGGTATACGACCTTTCAACGAACTCATACCACAGGACCGGCGAACTAAATTACTTCGGTTCAGACATAAGCAAATCACACATTATATCCAGGCCTAACCCCATTCTCCTAAAGGGCTCTAGAACACCCACCCAATTTGAAACAATTTGCTCCACACATAATTTAAAAACCAAACATCTATCCACCTTCTACAAACGTATCCAGAACCGACAAGATGACTGCCTCCCAGACTTTACCAAACAGTGGGAGGAAGAACTAGGGATAACCTTACAGGACAGGAAATGGACACATATTTTTACAAACATCTTCAAATCATCCCTAAGCACCAACACCCACGAGGGGAACTACAAAAGAATCTCAAGATGGCACTACACACCGACCAGGGTTAACCGATTCTTTCTCAACGCACCCAACACGTGCTGGCGATGCAAACAAGCAATAGGCACCCAGGGCACATTTGGTGGACATGCCCCACTATACAAATATACTGGGGAAAGATTAAATCCCATTCACGTGATCACCGGCGTGCAGCTCCCACATACCTCCCAGTCTATGTTGCTCATGCTATTTCCATCTCGTTTGCTACACCACCACGGTTTGAAATGTCTAAATATTGACCAATGTGGCATTTGCATTCTGTTTGTACAAATTTCTTTTTTTCCACAATAAAAAAAAAAGATACAATAAACTTGTTTATACATTGAAAACATCATGTGAATAGGTTAGAGAATCCACAGCCCAATAACTCCTTGGAAAGTGAAAATGCACCAGTTAAGGCATGCAGTCAAGGAAAGCAAAAGCAAGAATAGCAAAGTGAAGAAAGTTGAAAGCAGCTGAAGCAAGAAAGAAAAAGCAATGAAGAACAGCTTTACCAATATAGACAAATGTAGGTCTCCCTTTCAACCTCATTTCCACACAATCAGTCAAGCCCCAACTGCCTTCCTCTGGCCCAAAGACCACCTAGCTCACTACAAAATTCCTCCCACTTACACCATCAAATTATTTAATGGTTTCTGCTGCTGAATGGGCCATCTTGTCCCAGGTGTTGTTATAAATAAGTATGTTAAGAAAAACTTAGAGGAACTCCATAGTTGGGATGCTCAGCGCCAAATCTCCAAGGAGTTAGAAAGGGGTATTTTTCTAAACCCCAAACATTTATTAACCCTTACTAGGAAATACGGGGTATGTGTCAGCACTATAACATGGCTGTGTAATACAAAAGCAAAACAAAACATACAGAATTAAGCCCTGCACTCAAACTCCCACTAGTCATGGGCGGCAGCAATGCCTCTTTGTTTCTTATTGTATGTATTGAGGCTGATGTGTACTATAGTCATTGCTGCCGGCTAGGAATATTGGTAGTTTGAGAGCTGGACTTAATTGTTTTATGTTTATCTTGTTCAACAAGCCTGTTTTCTTTTTATGGCCACATTCTGACAGGGTTATTCACTGAAATCCGAATGACCCTGTTGTACAGCAAAACCCAGACATTGTTCACAATATTTAGCAAT